TATCTATCTATCTATCTATCTATCTATCTATCTATCTATCTATCTATCCCTTGTTTTCAAACTCTCTCTGGCAGCTCAGAACTGCAGGCTTCTATTACCTGGGCCTCATGAATAGCCCTGCTCTTCCATTCCAAGTCACCCCTCCACCTCCTGAACACAACCTGTTACATTCTGGGGACCTGCTGTCTGACCTTGGTACCGTCCCTTCCTTCTTCTCTGTCACCTGTTACTTTGGAACTTGTCACCAGCATGCCCTCCATTTTCTTTCTGTCATCATTGCTCCGAGCCAGTGACAGTCACTGTCTCCTCTGTCCCGGCCTCCCTCCTCCCCCCGCCCCGCCACCTCGTACTCCTTTATCCTCGCACCAGGCTGAAGCTGCAGAACAGAGCATCCGAGGCCCTTCCAGCTCTGTCCCATTATGGCTTCTGGAGTCTTTTCTCTTGTTCCTTCTACCCCTACATCTAGATTCTTGGCAAAGAGGCAGGTCCCTGTAGCATCTGTGTTGGTGCCTGCCTGTGCTGCCCTTGCATTTCCTGATAAATGCCCCTCCCCTTCCTAACCAGCCTCTCCCATCAGGTAGAGAAGGAAGTAATTTCGCTTCCTGTGGTGCAGATTAGAGGTTTGACTTCAGTTACCTTCACAATGATACAGAGAGCACGGAGGGGTGCTACTCACTGGCTTGCTCCTCATGGATTGCTCAGCTTGCTTTTTCTATAGAAACCAGGACCTAAAGCTCAGGGAATTGCACCACCCACAAAGGCTGGGCCCTTTCCCATCAATCACTAATTAAGAACTTATCCAGCCAGATCTTATGGAGGCATTCTCACAATTAAGATTCGCTCCTTTCAGATGACTCTAGCTTGTGCCAATTCGACATAAAATTAGCCAGGAAATATATTAAGAAGATATTCTTGTTAGACACCAAGACAGAAGCTTGAGTAAGACCTGCTAATCTCTGAACCTTCAGTAGCCCAGAATCTCATTGTGAAGGTAACCTCCAAGTGTTGGTTCTCTACTATCACGTGGGTCCTGAGGATCAAGATCAGATAGCCAGGCTTGATGGTAAGACTTGCTGAGCCATCTTGCTGACCCAGATTTTGTCTCTTGATCATATCTCAGAGTTGTGAAAAGTTATAATCATATTCTTTTTTTTCACTCCTTCACACTGAAATTCAATATTGCCTCAACTTTGATAAAAGGGGAATTCATATTTAGTATTACAAAGAACTAAAAATTTTAAGCATACAAAAACATCTAATCAATAAAGAAATGCACAAACAGTTCTTAGAAATACAAATGGCTAATATATATTTGGAAAAGAATAAAGCATCTTTAGCCACCAGAGACACGGAAAGTAAAGCTACACTGAGATCTGTCTCACTTTGGTCAGTATGGCTACCATGAAGCAGCAGTGCTGACAAGTGCGTATGTGGGAAAGAGCTTTGCACTTATCTGTGTTAATTATGATGCTAATCACACTAGCTAAGACATGCAATCAGACCAGAAGCCTGCAAACAAGTGAGTAGATAAAGACAACATGCTACATACACAGCAGGGTTTTTTTTTTTTTAGCTTTAAAATGAATGAAATGATTGATTTTGCTGGAAAAGGAATGGAACTAGAGACGATTATGTTAACGGAAACAAACCATATCCAGAAAATCAAATATCATATATAGAAGCTCGATTTAATTAAGCACATAAATAAGTGTGTTTGTGTGTGTGTTTATGTGTGTGTGAGAGAGAGCAAAAGAGAGAGAGAAAGAGAGAGAGAGTGGTGTAGGAGGTCCTCCTGTATTTACATTGCTTTCATTGGTTGAATAAAGAAACTGCTTTGGCCTTTTGATAGGGCAGAACTTAGATAGGTGGGGAAAAGAGAACTGAATGCTGGGAGAAAGAAGGCAGGTAGAGAGACTCGCCAGAGTCAGACATGCTGAATCTTTTCCAGCAAGCCACAACCTTGTGGTATTACACAGATTGGTAGAAATGGGTTAGATCAGGATGTGAGAGTTGGCTAAGAAGAGGCTAGATATAATGGGCAAGGCAGTAATTTAATTAATACAATTTCTGTGTGATTATTTCGGGTGTTGGCTAGCTGAGTGGGGTGGAACAAAGGGCCCTGCACTTGGGAGATAGGTGGCGGGGATGCAGCCCACTCTTCTTACTACAAGAAACAGAGAGAGAGAGAGAGAGAGAGAGAGAGAGAGAGAGAGAGAGAGAGGAAGAAGGCTCTAAAGGGGAGGGGTAAGGTAGCAAGAAAAGATAACTGGGGAAAGAAAAATCATGTTTATATCTAGACTTAAATAGCTATATGTGTGTTTATATCTCTTTGAATGACACAAAGAGGGTTGACTATTTGGGAGAGAAGGGGACCAGCAACACAGAGGTAAGGAGGTATGAGGGGAGGGTAGCTTGAGGGCAGAATATACATTGTGAAATGTCACAATGAAATCCATTTGTCTTAGTTACTTTTCTATTGCTATGAAGAGATACCATGACCGAAGCAACTTATAGAAGAAAGTGTTTATTGGGATTTATTGTTTCAGAAAGTGAGTCTATGGCCATCATGGCGAGGAGCATGACAGCAGGCAGGCAGGCATGGTGCTGTAGCAGTAGCTGAGAACTTACATTCTTTATATACAAACAGAAGGTGGAGGGGGCAAGAGAGAGAGAGAGGGAGAGAGAGAACACTGACTTGGAATGGAGTGAGTTTTTGAAACCTCAAGGCCTGGTGATGCACCTCTTCCAACAAGGCCACACCTCCTAATCCCTCCCAAACAGTTTCACTAACTGGAGAGGAGTGTGCAAACATATGAGCATATGGGGACCATTGTCATCCAAACTACCTCATCACTATTTTGTAAACTAATTATCATTGTATTGCTTGTATCGGTGACTCATCTTCCTCTTTGCTCTGACTATGTCTCTTCACTGACTCTGGAGAAAAAGCTCATGCTCTGTTATGCTACTCAAGTCCAGTAAAAGAATTAGGACCCCTCCCCCCAATTTTACTTGGTGTAGATACAAGCTAAATGCCAAGAATGATGTTGGGATATTCTCTCAGATTTAGTGTTTTAATTACCAGTGTTTGTTGCAAATACAATTAGGTATATTAATAAGACATTAAGTGAAAGCCAAGCTGGACTGAATGCTGACAAAGGGTTTTGCTGACAGCCTCATTAAAGATATATGAGGAAGTGAGCCAACCATTGAGCTGAAAGGAAATCCAGTTGACAGAGGGCAGGAAGTGAAGGCACACCGTCAGGGCTTAGAGTATGTGAACATGGGGACTACAGCTCTGAAGATGAGAATTGTTGGCTTTGGCTTAGACGAGTACCATTATAGAGAATTAATGAGGTTTGTTTATTCATTCATTCTTCCTGCTTCAGGTACTTCTACAAGACAATGGAATGGGATGTGGAACAACACCGAGGGCCTAACAGCCTGGTCATTACAAATCTAAGAAGTCACATTAATCAGGAATTTTCAAGACAACCATAGGTTAATTGAGAAAATCAGTTACTATTATTTTTATTTTTTAAAAATCTCTTATTTTTCTCTCCCTTCTTTTTTTTCACTTGTCATGTTAGGAACTGAACTTAGGTCTCCACATGTGGCAGAGCAAGTGCTCTACCACTGAGCTATAGCACCATCTCCCAAATTTCTATTTTTAAAACATGCAGTCAGATATGTATAAAACTAACTGCACAACTTAAGGAGAAGTAAGATAAATAACAGCATGCTCATGCTTCAGTTGAAGAAATAGAACACTGCAAAAACTTAGAAGGCCCAAGGAACCTCCTCCCAATTACCCTACTCCCCAAGGGTAATTATACTGAAATCTGTACTAATTAGTCATTTTTGGTGATTATTTTCTTTCTGTATGTTTAACTGCACATTTTTTTTTAAAATTGCAAGTACAGAAACAAATCTAAATTAGTTTATTTTGTGATTACATCTTTCTATCTAAGACTGTAGGACATGCCTTAATTTGTTTAGGTCTTCCAGTTTCTCACAACAAAGCTTTATGTTTGTTATGTAAAAGCTGAACCTGAGTGAAAGAAGCCAATTTGAAGAGTCTACCCTTTATAGAATTCTAACTATGTAACATTTTAGAAGAGCAAAAATGCAGAGTCACTAAAACACCAGGAGTTTCCTGAGACTTAGGGAAGGAGAAAGAATTGCCTCCGGGTTTTATTGCTGTGAGAGACACCATGATCTTGGCAACTCTTATAAAGAAAAATATTTAATAGGGGCTGGCTTACAGTTTCAGAGGTTCAGTCCATTTCCCTCATGGTGGGAAACAGGATGCAGCAACTGTGCTTCTGGAGAAGGAGCTGAGAATTCTGCATTTTGATCAGCAGGCAGCAGGAAGTGAACTGAGACACTCTTCCTCCAAGACCCTACCTACTCCTACAAGACCACACCTACTAAGAGTGTTGCTCCCTGAGTCTAAGGGGTCCAACTACATTCAAACCACCACAGGGATGAATAGGTGAAGGAGAGTGGGTTTTTAGTGTGGTGAGGCAGTTTGCTGTGAAAGTGTAAGGCAAACACAATGATGATTCATCAAGATCTACAACATGAAGAATGACACGTCAGTGTGAACTGTGGACTATAGTGAACAGAACTTCTAAGAGGACCACACAGGGCTGGATGAGGGTGCAGGATGGGGATATGGTCCTTTCCATGTTAGCTGTTCAAGTGTCCTATAGATCTAAGCTTGTCTTATAAAATGTAATTCCACTAGTTGTTTAAAAAATAATGCTAGATAATATTGGCACACATCTTTAATCTCAGCACCCGAGAGATCAGGGGTAGGCAGAATCTCTGAGTTTGAAGCCAGTTTGGTCTACAGAGAAAATTCCAGTACAGCCAAGGTTACACCGAGAAACCCTGTCTTGAAAAACAAAATAAATAAAGAATAATAAAAAAGAGACTAAAAAACCTTTTCAGTTTTAATTCCAAAGGTAGTGTGTATGCCTTTTTATAAGGGACTTAAAATAAGTTAATATAAAAAATATAGAAATTTTTATTATATTATACTTTACTACACCTCTTGACTTTAATATAGTATTACATACAAAGCAAGATTCAGTTTATAAATGATACAACATATTTCATCTCATCAAAATTTCATGCACTAACACTTAACTTCCCTTGAACACTGGATATATCAGATTAACGCCTTCTTTGAAAAGCTCTATCAACCACGTTTTAGGAATTTCCAAACTATATTCTCTAATGTTTTTGTTTTGTTGATCTTAATTTATGGAGTTATCTGTGATACTCTTGGATGCAAATAAATCATTTTTCACTCTTAATCTCAGTGTAGATATTTGTTTGAAGGTTAAGGGCTCCATAGATGTGGACAGAAGCTTAAATGTGACAAGTGACATCAGGACATTCATTTATTTTCTGAAGGTTAGTGGACAATGGTTTATGTGTCCTACTTGAAGACTATGGTCTACAAAACATATGTGTGTGTGTGTGTGTGTGTGTGTGTGTATACACACACATATATATATATATATATATATGACGCTAGAAAGCATAGTCATGTCTCTTAATATTTTTAATCTAATATGCTACCCTGGAGTATTATGATGGGATGCTATCTTCAGTCAACAGATGCAGATTCGCACCTTTCCAACCCAACAGACTAGGATTAGCTCATAAATAAGATCACATTCTGAAATGTAACTACATGGCATTTATATGAATGTTCTATGGCACAGCAAATGCTCCAAGATGGTCTTCAGCGCTCTGCCCAGCTAGCTGGTCATGATATCTTCTTGCAGGAGATTTTGTGCTAAAACACAGAATCTTCTGATATGAGAATCTCCTTCTGATATGAACAATGAGATTCCAGCTTAGCAACGAAGGGAAGCCAGATTTATTCTTCACTGTCTTTTCTTCTTGGCTTTCTGCTTTGAAGCATCTATGTGAAAGGTCCAGACAAAGGCTCTAGAAAATCCTTCACCAGCAGCTTTCCTGTGTTATAGTTACTTGACCATCCCTCTTAATTCATTCCCATGAGGCCCAATCCATAAGAAGGATGAACTACCCTCTCTTAAGTAGTGCAATGCAAGATGCAATTCCATACTGATAAGGACTGGGTTATTTTGATAAAATTTGCATATTTTTACACTGAGTGTCCCAACTTGGCATGGATAAAGGTTTTCTTACTGAATAAGAAAGAATTTTGCCATTCCTAGCTACTGTGGGGGCAGATGGGCAGGAGAGCATATCTATACTACAACATGGAGCCAGGGACCATGCGAGCTAAACTGGTATTTTCAATTCCAATTTAATAGCCAGGGTTGATTAATTGATTTAAAAATGTAACCATGAGAATTTTTATGAAAATATTAATATAAGACCTTATTTCCTTTATCTTGTAGAGTATATTAATTGATTTCAAAATAATGACAGTCATAGTATATTGAAAAAAGACTATTGAATAAAATTTACTTCTGTACAACTTGGTTCTTATCACTAGATAATAGTTATTAAAAAACACTAAGGTCACTTAAATGAATAATTTTATTTTTCTACTCATCTTATGATTATGTAAGTTGGTTATGCAACCAACTTGAATATGCACCAAATTTATTTGTATAGTTCATGTCTGTTTTCAAACTCATATATCTCAGAGAACATAAAATTATTTAAAAGTTAAGTCATGCTGCTGTGGGACAATGCTTTTGTAAACTGCAAAGATTTGTCACTGGTATTGGTTCAATAACACACAAATTGGCCAATAGCCAGGCAGGAAGTATAGGTGGGGCAACCAGATTAAGAGAATTCTGGGAAGAGAAAAGGAAGAGACACAATCACCTGTCAAATGTAGACGAAGCAAGATAAGAATGCCTCACTGATAAAAGGTACCAAGCCGTGTGGCTAACACAGACAAGAATTATGGGTTAATGTAAGATATAAGAGTTTATCAGAAGCCTTAGCTAACAGGCCAGCCAGATTAGAATTAATGTAGACTTCTGTGTGTTTCTTTGGGACTGAATAGCTGCAGGACTAGGCAGGATAGAAACCTCTGTCAATATATATGAGTTCTTGAATTTGTAGACTCTGTTTTCTTTCTCTTTTTCTACTAAAATCAAACATCTGGACTCCTGTCAACCCTCTGGCTCCTTGTCAGAAGCAGCCAGCTGTAACAACATCATACAACTAACATTTGCTTTCTGAACTCTTCACTAAGGCATATAAATTCACTTGACAGGCGATCTGCTTTCTGGGTTTGGTTACTATAGTGGCAGCTTTATTCAGTGTTTCTCTCTGTGTAAAATAGATCACCATTTCAGCCTCTGACTACAGTTTCCGTTTTGATGACCCATAGGCAACCAAATCAGTGCCACACTTCTGGGCTGTCTCTGCAGCAGAATTCCACTTCTGGTATCAGTTCTTGTGTCCACCAAAGTCAACCTAGGTCGTGTGAGAGGATCACAGCCTTACAGTTTCCATGGTTTGGCACACTATTATAAGTTCAGTGAAGGTCCGCAGAAGCTCTGTTCATTGTTTCTCCAGGATAAGAATTCCTATGATCATAGTCCTAAGGAAAAACTGTGGCTATCCTGATCATTTGCTTAACTGACATGAACTTATTTTTGTCCCTTCTACTTTTTACTGTATGATTCACAAAGTTGATATTCAGTAATGTTGTTTTCTAAGTTCCTACGTCAGCTGATATTTGATTGGTTAGTGGGAGGCACTGGGGGAAAATTAGGGAAATTCTCTCAGATTCAAAATGGTGAGGATGCAGGGTGGTGGTGGTGCATGCCTTTCATCCTGGCACTTGGGAGGCAGAAACAGGAGAATTTCTTTGAGTTCGAGACCAGCCTGGTCTGCAGAGCAAGTTCCAGGACAAGCGCCAAAACTATACTGAGAAAACAGAGAAACCCTGTCTCAAACAAACAAACAAACAACCCAAACAAACAAACAAAATGGCGGGGACAACTACAGGACAGGAGCAACTGTGACAGATCTGAGACTTTCTGTCATTCCTTCCAGGTGTCCTCAGGGTTACTTTCCAAGACCCACTAGAATGTTGAATGTTTGTCAACATTTTTTTTAAAGCTGGTATTGAATATTATTTTAAACTCAAGGACAATTTTATTAGCATAAAAATTAATTATCATTAAAGGAAAAAACCTGCAGGGCAGCAAACTCTAAGTCTCAGCAACTTGCCAGAGGACAGGGATGGAGGAGAGAAGGAAAGAAATCTAGGCCTTTTCAGTGGACGTGGAGCCAGATTCACGGCCGACAGCAGCCCCAGGCTGGGGAGGGAAGCTTTAGAGAAAGAGTGAGGAACCAAAAGCACCAGAGGAAGCAGCCTGGAGTTCTGTCCAGCAACTCAAAGAGAGATGCAGCTTCCATTTGCCAGCATAGAAGTCCTTGGAGAGACCTCACGTTTTCTTTCTGAGATCTTGGGTCATGGAGCTTGGGTGAATTTAGACTGGGTTTCCCCATGAGACTCCTCCGTGGCTGTGAGATCTCAGGAGAGGCTGGACTTCTCCTCTGTACCGGTGCCAGGTGCAGACCCACATCCTTTCTGCAGAGAGGGAGGCGTCTGTTGCTCATCTTTCTTCTGATAACGGCTGAGACTTCCCTGTGTGCAGGGCTTTGCTCGTGATCCTCTGTGTTGTGCAGGTCGCGAGGACCTGGCTTTTTTTCCTGGGCATTGTGAGTTCCACTGCATTGCTCTCCAGGGTATTGCAAACTCTTGCTGCAGGGTTTGGTCCCTGCTTACAGGGGAGGATACTTACTCTCAACTCTCAAAACTCCATTTGTATCAGCTCTGGGGTGCATTTGCGGCATTTCTGAAACCATGTTTCAATCTACGTTTTAGATGTTTCTATTGGGGAGGTTGTTCAAGCTGACTAATCCTGTGAGGGCAAAAGCAAGGCCACTTCAACACACTCAGAAGATAGTCTTCCTTTTAAAATGCTATGACTAGACCAAACTTACATGGGAGACAGAAAAGATGCTTAGTCAAGGATATGTGTGTTGGTATTGGTCATTACCTAGTAGCAGGGAATTGGCTCTGCTTATCTATTTGTATGAAATTGCCCAGTTCACCTTGGTTGCTGTGATGTAAGAAGCCATGCTCAATGAACCTAAATAAAATTGGCTGGGAACCCCATGTCAAATAAAAAAGAGAAATATCCACTCCCTACAGTAGAACTGAAGGCTTTTGGAATAGGGGAGTAAAAATGCTTGTAGGTTTGCCAGATTAAGCTAATAACAGTAACTTACTTTGAGCATAAGCAGATTCCAAGCAGTATTTGTGATATTCTTGTAAGTACAAACGTTACCTGAAATTAAAATTCAACCAGTAGGCTTATATTCTCTCGGACAATACCATTTACATCACTCACACCAATCTCTTTTCCACATTTCTGCTTCCAAGATTTCTTCTCTTCTGTTATTTATATATATATATATTTAACGGTGGGAGGCACAGCTTAAAGAAAGCATTGGAGGAACTGGATTTGTTAAACACAAGGGTTTGTTCTTCAAAGGAATAAGAATGATGTCTGAAAGTGATAAAATTCTAAGAGAATCATACATGGATCCCCCTGGGAAGGGGAAATGGACAAGATCTTCTGAGAACATTGGAAGTGTGGGAGTGTGGGAGAAGGGAGGGCAGAAGGGGAGGAGAAGGGAGAAGGGGAGGTGGGAGGAGAACTTGAGAAAATGGGATGGTCGAGATGGGGAAGGACAGAGGGGGAGAGCAAGGAAAGAAATATCTTGATCGAGGGAGTCATTATGGGACTAGCAAGAAACCTGGCACTAGAGAAATTCCCAGAAATCCACAAGGTTTTACGAGATGACA